GAGAGAGAGAGAGAGAGAGAGAGAGAGAGAGAGAGCTGTTTGTTGTCATGGTTGGTTGCCATAGCAATTGAAGCGGAGTAAGGCGCTGTATATAACTTTGAGATTGGAAATTAAATGGATTTCACTGTTATGTGTGTATGATACATACATATAGTGTGTGTGAAAGAAGGTGGATGTGGATAAAAAGGTAACAATCCTCATCTAACAATGCAACATCACACCATGCATTCTCATATACCCTAACCAACTTTTTCTTCAATTCATTCGACAAGGTGGTTGCCTCGTTTAGAAAAATAATCGCGATCGCATGCTCCTTCGACCAGTGTACATTCCCCCAAATATTAAGTATGGTCATTGTCGCTGTATCTAGACTGAAAGTTGCCCCAGATTCAGGCATTCGGGGGAAGATGGTAGCTCTGCATTGATGCATACGTAGTCATTGTGTACCTTTGGATTATACCACCACTACTATTCTTTACGACTGGCCCGGTTACCAGGGGTCTAAACAAAAAAGAAAAAAAAAGAAAAAGAAACCTTGTGGGCCTTGTGGGGGCCTTGTGGGCCTTGTGGGCCTTGTGGGCCTTGTGGCTCGCCCTTTTTTTTCCGGCTGATCCATTGAATTGACGATCTGACAGCCGCAGGGTTACTTTTGTTGTTTTTTTTGGGTTCAAAGTTTCAAACTTCAAAGTTCAATTTGTTTTCTTTTTTGGGGTTCTCTTTTGGTTTTTTGGTTCTTTTTTTGGTCTTCAGGGTTGGCCCGGTTTTTTAGGAGGTAATGATGGTTTAAAATTTGAAGGATGTGCAAGGAAAATGAGCAATAGCAAGATGACAATGTCGAGAATGCACAATCACATTGGAGGCCAGATAGTATCACAGTGTCCAGAAAGCAGAAATGCTCCAATATAACACCAATGAAGAATCGTAACACTGAAAACCAATGCCAATGAGAGCCTGCTCTCGCCACCACCAACATGAGTGTCCAGGCCCTATCTCCCTACTTGGCACTCGGCGCCCAGCCTACTTCCTACACAGCTACAGTCTGCCTACTAATTGACAATGCAACCGTTGACGTCAGCAGCCCACGAAGTACTTGAAGATGTCGCCCAATGCAGACCATCATCCGCCAATAACAGGTATGTGCCCTGACATCGTCATCATCATCATCCTTCTCTCTCTCCCCTGACTTACTACCACGTCTTCCCTCTTGTACACCCGAAGACCACCCGTGCGCCTCACTGTGCAACCAAGCCCGCAGCCAGCTATGGAGGCTGGGCTATGGCGCTGCCCTCAGCAGCGCCCTGCTTCCACACACGACCACACGTACGCAGCACCTTGCTCCAGCGCTAGCAGCCAGCACGCGAGCAGAAGCTCCAGCAGCGCTGCCGCCAGCCAGCAAGTGCCTGAATGAGGCTCCAGGCAACGAGCTCTTTCCTATATGGAAAGAGCCTGCCTGCCTTCGCAGACTGGCTGGCCTGGGCCTGGGCCCACGCCCAGAAGCTTCCAGTAGGCCCCAGGATGCTGCGCCTCTGTTGCAGCCACTGGGCCTCATTCGGTTGGGCCTCCCAACTCTGTGTATGAGCCTGCGAATCCCGTCCAGGGCCTGCATCATTTTGGAAAGGCCTGGAAGGCCCTGGAATGTCTTGCTGCTCAGCCTGTATTTCCCTCAACCAACTGGCACGTCGAAACTGCCTGGACCCCAAATACGAAATTGACAGCTGAGGGCCTCTCGTGATTTTGTTAGGCCCACCTTCACTTAGGGCGGGCACATTCGCAACAGGGGCCCCTTAGGCCTGCTGAGGACACAGATCCTCGCAGATGGAGATTAAAAAAAAAAAAAAAAAAAAAAAAAAAAGGAAAAAAAGATTTAAGATTGAGATGACAGCAAGGGTCCGTTCCTCAGCGAATACGTTTTAGTTTTCAAGAAGTCTTTCTAACTTAAAAAATTGTTTTTGTTTCTGTATTTCTGTTGGTGTATGTGGACCTGAAAACAGTGGATTGACAGATGATGAAATTGTTCGCATCGAAGGCCTTGTGAATGACTGGATAGGAAGAGCCGTTCCACTGGAGTCAAGGTTCAGACTTCTTTCCTCTCATACCCCCGTCTTTCCTCGTCCTCCTCCTCCTCCTCCTCCTCCCCCTCCTCCCTTCTATGAGCATCACCTCCCATTCTTCCAGTTGCCTCCTCCTCTTCCTTCAGTGTCATCTCCCTTTCCATCTCCACCTCCGCTTGCCCCCATCTTTGGCCTCTCTTCCCGCCCTTCATCGCCCCCTTTTTGTTTTGTTCTCCTCTTGCCCCTCTTTCTCTCTCCTGCTCCCCCCCTCCTATCGCCGTCCTGCCTCGCCTCTTCAGCTCTCCTTTCCTCCCACCTTCTTCTCTCCCTCCTTCCCTGTTCCCCTCTCCCTCCGACCCTCCTTCCTCTCTCCCTGCTTCCCCTTCCCTCTCTGTCCCGTGCCCCCCCTTTCCTCGTCTCGGTAGTTCTTCTTCCTCCCTTTCTTCCTCTTCTTCCTCCATTTCCTCCTTTTCTTCCTTGTCCTCCTCCTCGCTCTGCATTCTACTTCCCCTCCTCCTCCCTCTCCTCCCTGTCCTCCCCTCTTCCTTGTCCACCTCCTCCTCTCCTCCTCCCCTCCGCCCCTCCTCCCTGTCAAACTCTTCGTCATTCCCACACAATTCCTCCTCCTCTTACTTGAAGTTCCTCCTCTCCTCTTCCTCCCCCGACTTCTCCAGAGTATGGTTCTCGATTGCACCCTCGTTGAGTTATGTCCTGCTCAGAGGCATTGGTTACGACAACAGACGCCTTGGCATACGATCCATCTCCATGACAGTCCAACAGTTTGTGCTTCGCTTGGGGCATCCTGAGCACTTTCTGCTTGTTGCTTGCTCTGTGCTAGGAGGTGTGGACTTATTAGTTAAAGCGGGTAGTGGGGTACCCGAATGACCCCCACATGGTTGCAGTCTGACAAATCTGCACTTCTCTCTGATAAATCTGCACTTCTCTGAGAAATCCAGAAAAGTGCAGCATTCTCGGCATCATCGTCTTTTTTACCTGAATGGCAGTGAATGCTGAGAAATCTGCACTTTTCTTAGAACAGTTACAGACGGAGCCGGAGCAGTAGTGAGAGCTGCCGTCTTCTTCACCCAAATGCAAGGAACTTAGATTTCTGAAGAAGTCGACGACATGCCCGAGGGAGGGGCTGTCAGAACATCCAACGTAGGCACACGTGAGAGAGAACACACAAATCACACGGGTTCACTCACAGGAGACATACTCAAAGAGAAAAAAAAGTGACTTGCGCAGATCTTAGACGAACAGTTCCGAACGGTCTCAAAATTTGAACGGAAGGCACCCCTGCCCTATGTTGCACGCCCGGCCGCGGGCGGGGGGGGGGAAATCGGCCGCGGCCTCAGCCGACGGCCAAATCGGCCAGGTTCGGCCTCGGCCGACCAGCCAAGTTCGGTGCAGGATTTTTATTTTTTTTTCCAACGCATGAAAATATATATATATATATATGGCGTGTAGGGTTCAAAAAACCCTACACGCCCATATTTTTTTGGGGGGCATTGTTGTTTTCTATTGCGTAACAAAAAAAAAAAAA